TTTAACGTGATCCCAGTTACTTTCGAGAAAAAAAAAATCAACGTTAGGCCGAGAGACTTGGTGAAAAGTAATGTCTCACTAATGAGCCCTAAAATATCGACTTGGTTTCGAATCCAGGGCCTTCCTGTTACGAAACCACTGCTTTATACCGCTGAGCCATCAAACAAATGCTTTTGAAAGAGAGACATGCATCAGCCTCTTGTTCGCAGACCAATGATAATACATCAGACTACTTTGAACATGATCATAGGGGGAAGTTATTTTGGCGGGCTCAGATAACATAAATTCCACCTGCCTTGGTGAGTAAAGGATATGTGATCGATACTGCCAGCGCTCCAGCAAAAGGACGCCGGTTCCTGGACTGTGTTATTGTCTGTTGGTTTAGACAGGTGGGATGGAAGGGAGGGAAAGACTAACCATGGACCTACTACTGTGGAATAACGAAGGGAGGGTGAGGGAGGGAGGGAGGGAGGGAGGAGGAGGAGGTCGAGAGGACAGAAGGAGACAAAGTGAGGGAGACAGAGTGTGTGTGTGTGTGTGTGAGAGAGAGAGAGAGAGAGAGAGAGAGAGAGAGAGAGAGAGAGAGAGAGGGAGATGAGACAGAGAGGGGCAGAGTGACACAGACAGATATAATTATAGACGGACAGGAGAGAGAGAGGTATAGAGAGACAAACAGACAGAGACAGACAGACAGAGAAGATAACACTGATGGCAGATAGAATGATAGAAATGGGAAGAGAGGCATGGAGATGGTGAAGAAAGAGATATGAAAGACGAAGAGCAACGAATTCCTTACATACACACCAAAACAGAAAAAGGAAGTAGATTTTTATGAAGTATCATTATTTTAGGGGGGAGGGGAAGCTTTTGTTTGTTTTACCTGACTGCTTAGAAAGCATTGTGTATGCTTGTAATTAAGCAACCAAAAAACCGACGGCTTTAAGTCCTCTCCGAAGGACTTAATCATGAGGAGTAATGCCTTACCAAAGGGCACAGCGCATGACTTGGATTCAAACCCGGGACCTCCCGGTTTCTTTGACCTGATAGAAGAAAAACAAATTATCTTATATTTGCAAAATGCGTATCAAAATTTCCGTCTGTCAATTCGCTTTTCATTATTTTTCTTTCTAAATGCCATTCTTCTTTTGAAGGTCACCTTCACTCTCACTCAATGTCAAAGGCTGAAATGGAAATATAATTCAATCTTCCTTTATGCAACATTCGTACAGACAGCCCAGGGAGGCGAATGCAACGACATTATTAAATTACGCGTACATCTGGAAAACTCGAAATAAAGGAGAGAGAGAGAGGTAAGTGCAGAAAATAATAATATTTTGATCGGGGAAAGGGTTGGGGAGAACTGGGAAAGAGGGGAAGGATGTGTTGCATGTGATATAAACGTTTGAAGTCGTGTCCATGTTCATGTGGTTGGCGTTTCCGACAGGGGCTATTCGGATGCAGCCCCCAGCCGCCCCCGGAAAATAATTAGCCATTATGATAGTTGAAACAACAGGCCTCCTTCCCATCCCCATTTTCCTCATTCTACACCGCCCCCCCCCCCCCTCGTCTCAAAAGGACCCAAAATGGATTCACTTTTGGAGTAGAAGAAGGGCAACTTCACTTTGCACACATTAACATTTTGCATTATGTCTACAATTTGATCGCCCCCCCCCCCGCCCCACACACACATATAATGACAAAGCTGGCTACACTAATACTACCACTCCCTTCCCCCATAGATGAACTCTCTTTCAGTATTTTACACAAATCTATATTCAAACGGTATAGGAAATATCCGTTCATACACTAGGCCTATTTGATTCAAATCCTTGGCACAAGCTTTCGACCCATTTTGAAACGGATGTAATCAGTTTTGCTTTCTCTTCCTTCCCCCGTTCATGCCAATTATTATTCATTATACCACATAGCGTGTGACAGAGACTTATGTTAAACATTTTCATAATCTCGTTAAATGTTGTCATTGATAGTGAGTGTATTAAAGCGAAGGCGGATCAAGGCTTGTATGAGATGAAAAGGGGGTGGGGGGGGGGGGATGTTTTGAAAACCGCGAGAGTCCAAGGTACCTGGGCAGTGTGTTCTATAGGTCAACATTTTTCAAACATGATTTTTCTCCTTTTTTTGGAGGGGGGGGGGGGGTTGAGAGTTTAGGGCTCGCTCTAGTTTTATCGCCAGGGTCAAAATTTGGAATCCGGTTATGAGAGGGAAACGATTGCGGAGCGATTGTTGTCGAATTTGTTCAATTTATCGAGGGGGGGGGGGGGGGGGGTGAGGGGAGTCGTGAGACCATTTTTTTAAAGTTAACCTGACTTTGGTCAACAACAAAAACATGAATGGAAAATCTCCTTGGTTATACGACACATGCTCCTGCGACAATTGCTCCTTGCAAATAACATGATTACAAACTTCAATCCTGGAGCTTACACTATACCTAACTCTAACCCTAACCCTATAACATAAAACCCACTCGCAACCCTTACCATAACCTTTGGCGAATTTAAAGGCAGGCTTTACTACTTCAGCTAGAAGATATTAGACCACCCAGCGAGCCAGCGAGGTCACTGTGACAGGTGGCTATCTCATTAACTCAGCTCTCATTTAACATAAGAAAAAGAGGATCATGGGGACCAACAGGCACCGATTGGGGAAGTTTTCTATATAGAGGGAGCAAGTAGCTACAAGTAGGACAGTGTGCCTTTAAGAGAGGGCCATTTGCGAGTATTAAACTGGAGAAAATGTCAGGTGATCACAGGTGGTACGATGGTTGTTCCAATTCATTCAATGTTTGTCATTCAAACATTGATTATAGCCACATCAGCATTAATTCCATCCTTATGTTGATTTCCCGGTTTAGACGGAATTGAAACTTCCAGAAGAGGTCAGCTGAACTTTTTGACACTAATTATTATCATCTTATATATTATATCCAACCAGGACTATAGGCTCCTCAAGTGTGTTATTTGAATGCCCACATAATTATTTTCTGGTCTGTTTTTGTATGCGTATTCAATATTTTATTTTGAATCTCCCTTATACTCTCATTTAATTCTCTCTTAATTTTATGTTGTGACCCATATCCGATGAATAGTCGCTCTTCCTCTGTACCCCATCTGCCTCTCCCTCTCTCTCTCTCTCTCTCTCTCTCTCTCTCTTTCTTCTTCTTCTTCTTGTGTCTCTCTCTGTCTCTGTCTCTCTATTTATAATAAATATGTACATAATTATATTTATATCTTTCTCTCTCTCTCTCTCTCTCTCATGCAGTATTGTAGACTGTACCCCCTTTCTCTCTCTGCTCTCTCTGCTCTCTCTCTCTCTCTCTCTCTCTCTCTAAATAACATAGATAATATTATCTCTTTTTCTCTTTCCCTCATTCTCACGCAATACTCATCTGACTCTCCAAAACAAACAAACAAACAGACAACGAAATAAAACAAAATTAATAAGCAAAAAAGACAAACGAACAGACAAACAAACTAGATAAAAAACAGAAGCAAACCACATCAAACCACTGCGTTTTTTATTCTTGGATTTACAACCCGTAAATCCTTATAACTGTCCGTGGTAAAAAAAAGGCGGTATTTTGTTATTACGTAATGAAACGTTATACACAGTAATATAATGAATGGACTTATGGGAAAGGAAACGTCACCAAATAGCATGCCGATCAAAACAGACAGAAGAAGAAGACATAGTATAGAAGCCATATTAATTCCCAATGATTAGCTGCTATTGACAATTAAATAAATTCATTTCTTCTGATTTATCTCTCGATGCAAATTATGCAGGTCAACACGGCTAACAGTTACATCATAGATAGATTTGTTAGGTAAAATTCGCCATACTTACATATTGTATTAGAGTATAATTACTCCTTGGTCAAACAATGCTGATATGTTATTCATTTTTTAATGGAACTCACATAAAATCATTGTAAACACGTGATCAATTAAATGTAATTTGAAATTGGCTTTATAATATTGTAAGCCTTATCAACCGCTATCAAAACCGCTATCCTGACTCGATATTTTTGCTCATTTTGGTATTTGTCTTTGAAAACATTCGTCTATAAAGAAGGCGGATTAAAATGTGTAAAAAACAATACATGAAAGAAATCGGGTACTTGTATATAAAGTGTTCTTTTCTGAAAGCAAGGCATAACGTTTAATCACAATGTACCAATCCCTATACTTGATTTTTTAATTGAATTTATTTCCACAAAACATAAAAGTGTACAAGATTATACAAAAAGGTCATGTACAATCAGATGAAGTGTAGGGATAACAAAAGTATAATCTAGGTTATCCCATTAAACAATAATCAAAGCAAATAGGTACACAAAGTAAAAGAATTACAGAATTGAAATTGAAATTAAGTTAAAAATGACATGACTCTTACGCACTAATCATTAAACACTTATAATTATTATTGACTACAGTGCGACTGACTTTTCGTTAATTTGATCACGGACCTACTAATTGTGATTGACTCATGTCAACAGGCTTTGGGTGCCCCTCACTTTTATTACGTAATGATTTAGAGCAACTTTGCTTCAAGGTCACAAAGCACTCAAAGATAAACCATCTTGAGATAGTGTCATAACATACAATATGGCATTACTCGACAGGCAAATGGATGGCTTTGCCAACGGCGCTCCGCAGTCACAGATAACATGGGTTCATGAACGTGTACAAATAAAATACATGTTTGCTCTTAGCGACCCCTATACAAGGACAATTCGCTCTTTTCAATTGCTTCGTGGGTTGTTGAATGGACGAGTTTGAATGGTGGGGGCTGGGTCCAATATATATTTATCCGCTGTTGTAGAAAAACATGGTATTGTTGTAAATGTTTGCTAAATCCAGATCCCTGTGTTTGTTATGGTGGGGGTATGGTGGTAAAATATGTAGTTATGACCTGAAGACTTATATTATGAAGGCTTGAAGCTGTACTAAGCGGCCTCACTAACTATATTCCCTCTTCTCGCTGGTGTTCAACGCGGCTCTTTTTCTATTTTCATCTCGGGGAAGAAAAAAAATGATGACAGGCAAATTGAAAGGGTGAGCTGGGTTTTTGAAGAGAGGGGAGCGCTTTACATGTTCATTGAAGCATAAGGGTAGAGGCTCATCCAGGCGTGATTCTGAAAGGGATAGAGGCGAGTGGGTGCGGGAAAGCTTGCCAGCACCTCCCCGTATATACACACCGAGCTTCGCTAATACTATTGAAATGAATTAGCGCGGAAACGCACCGTTCGTGTTTTTCTGATATTCTCCAAAAGCCTTGAGAGACACAGGACTAAAGGCGAGAACAGTTTTCATGCAAGCCATACCCTCGTAGAGAAACTGGGAGAAATATGTTTCTATATTCATAACCGGCTTGATGCCTCACCATCAGTTATCTTCTTTAATTCGTTTGAATAACACGGAACATCAACCGCCCGTTGATTTGACTGCGTTCGCTATCTCCCGTACGGTTCGCCCGCTCTCTGTACGGCCCTTCTTTCTTACATGACTCCGTATCAAATTACACCCAGCGTGTATTGCGATTGGTAGATAGTTTCGGACGGACCGGGAAAGCAAGAACGGTTAATCAACACCTTTGAATATGCTGGAAAAACTTGTGAGTAGCAGCGCTTTGGCACTGCTTTCTTCTTCTATCACCTCAGCGGTCCTCCTCTCCTCAACTTTCATGCTTTTCGCCGCCTATATGCTCCGAAACCAGAGACCCACGGTGAAAGAGAGCGAGGGTAAATCCGCGGGGGATATCGGGAAATGGTCGCTGTTAACCCGGGGGCTTGCCCGGTGGAGGGAGCGGCTGCCGCCTGGTCCTCAGGCATGGCCGCTTTTGGGCGATTTACCAACATTAGTGAAAATGGGGAAGGAACATGGGGCAGGGGCGCTGACAGAACTAGCCCGGACTTACGGGGGCATTTATATGATTAGATTGGGTTGGCCAGGCCCCAGGATGATTGTGATAAGTGATGGAGATTTACTCCGGGAAGCATTGATTAAACAAGCTAATATCTTCTCCGATAGGAAAGTCAATGGATTAATATCAGTCTCGTTCCCCGTTGAAGGTAAGTGAAAAGTAAACAATCTCTGACATTATCATCCATTTATTTTGTGAAGTATACTCTGTTTTGTGTTTTTGCAATATTGCGCATCCTGTCACTTACATGTACTTCCATGCAAAGCTACATTCAAATACTTTTAAAAAGAAAACGGCTGTACCTAATCTGCACATGCAGAAGATGAAATCTTCACTAACAGATTCGTATAATAATGACCCTATGACAGAATAAATCATTATTTACCCTAAAATAAGGAACGTCTATATACAAAGTGAAATGCCAGTTACAAAGAAGGTATATTTTTGTATACAGGGACATGTGTGTATTACTGTTAAAGAAACTGCACCTCAACAATACGACAATACACCTGACGGTGGCCTGTACTGCTACTGAAGAAGAAGAAGAAGCAACGTCAAAGTTAGAATATCAGGGCGTAATAATTATACCATAGGAATATTTACCCATTTTAAAAGCAAAACAAACAGAAACATTATTATCATCCGATGTATGAATCGTAATTATGTAAAAAGAAAGGAAATTGATATTGTTTACTTGATTCACAAATACGACGATTTTCAATAAATGGATTCGCGAGATGTTTCTATATATTATGAGGAGAAGAGTAAGGCCTAATTGAAATATGGAATTACTATCTTTTTTTGAAAACTTGCCAGAAATTATCACCATGTAGGCCTATACAAGTCAGCTGTTTGACTGAAGTACATTATACTTGAAATGTTGATATAATAGCGATGGCCCCGTGTTGGGATGATGTTTTCACCAAACTCCCCCACGTATACAGCATGCTGGGATATTGACGAGTAGTCTATCAAGTGTTATGTTTATGAACATAAAAACGAAATATGAAATAACCCTGCAGTAATCATGCTGGGCAAATCCATTTTGAAATAACTTTCGCATATTTCTCCTGCAATGCCAGGCAACCTTATTATAGTTATGTTAAACAATTTTGGGGGATTTTTTTCTTATTTGGCCTGTAAAAGGGAGGGGCGTACACCGACTCTATCCCAAGTTGGATACGCCCCTGCATGTGAGCCTGGCGTCCATGCAGCGAATAAACGCAGCCCCATTTGGAGCAGAAATATTAAATACTCTGTCTGGAAGATAGACTATCAAAGTCTTGATATTATTATAGATCTTTATTCAAAAGCGCAGACACTTTGTTATTTAAAACTTTCACTAATTTTAGTTGAATTACATTAGTTTTTCAAATGAAATTAAGGAAAGGACACGATTTTCTGGGGGGGGGGGGTGGCTGCCCAACGACTCTTGCCTAAATATCAACTTGTAAAGTTCTCCAATTTTGAAACTATTGTAGTGACATACACGGTTGGGAGCCTACATGTACCAAGGGCAACCGTGTATGTCACTGTATATAGTTTCCAAATTGGTATTAATTTATAGCCTTTTGATGGAAATTAGTAATTAAAGTGTATTACGTAAGATATCAACATTGTAGTATTTGCACGTAGACGTCCTTGCAGCCTGAGACGACAGTTGTCCGAATCCTCGTACTTTCAGGATCATTTGAATGGGAGAAACCCCAAGCCCCTCCCTGCCTCATACACGCCTATAAAGCTATACCATGGCTAATATATTTATTTATTGATATTAATATGGGCACTGTCAACATGAACAAAACCCTTAAATTGGCTACGATATACAGGTGTATTGATGCCGACAGCTGGATAATTGCCATCCGTGCCCCTTGCTTTAAATGGCCAATTAATTGCAGTTACGTAATAAACTGATTCAAAACATAGGAGCGTAAAGCAAGGGGTAAATACCCCCCCCCCCCCCATTGGTGGAAGTATGATTAATGGCAATGACATAATTACTTGGCTTAAAATAATTACAAGATATTTTGGAGCTACTAAACACGCGTGTTGTTGTTGTTTCAACTCGAGGTATAAACATTGATTATTAACGATTCATTACAGTATGTTGAAGTATTAATGTCAGCCCAAATCATCTCGTCTTCTTCATCATGCCGTCATGACATGAATACGGGCTAAGGCGTTACTGGCTACAATTTCGTCCACCACGTTCCCACAAGCCAAGGCACATATTAATATCAAGAAAAAGAAACGAAAAGTTTCTCCAGTATTGTATTCCTTAATTGTTGTAAATGATTATAATTGATTAGTAATATTTTCTCGGAAACAGAAGTCAGAAGTAAAGTTGATTTGAATTGAATTTCTATTTTGGACATTTTATTTACCGTCTGCTGTAGCTTTAATCTCCTCTAAATTATAATATGGGAACATGATAAATTGATAATGTTATACCATTCTCTTAATCTGTAGCTTTATACGTTAGCAATTGACTTCATGAAGTTGAAGTTCATGTACATGCATAATTCCCAATACAAATTGTGGTTGAATAAATTGAATAAATAGGAGTATACCCGTGCCGAATATGGTTCCCATAATACATGTATAAGGTTCAAAATGATTCAGCTATCATAATACTACCTGTGCATGTTCGACCTATAAAATACGATACAATAGATCTCCTTCCCGTCAAGGTCATGTGTATTTACATTGTACATGCTCCTCGCACGCAAGGTTGCTTCGAAAAGAACATACCGTGAAGGTGTATTTCCGCAAAATAATAATTTACAAAATTAATGCAGAAGAATAAGTTTAGTCGACTAAAACAAAAAAATGAAGAGTAAATATTGGTTATCTCGTGCACTAATCTTGTTCTCTTTCATTGCTCTCTCTCTCCCTCTCTCTCTTCCTATCTTCATCTCTCTTTCTATCTTTCTATCTATCTCTCTTTCTATTTTTCTCTCTCCATCTTTCTCTCTCTCTCTCATTTACCCCCTCTCATTATTATTTTCTTTCTTTCCTTTTCTCTTCCTTCACTTCTCTTAATATCCTCCCCCTCTCTCTCTCTCTCTCTCCCTCTCTCCCTCTCTCTCTATATATATTCATACATTTCTTCCCGCTCTATACACTCACATCTCTCCCTTTCTCCCTCGCTCTCTTTCATGGTTTCTTTGTCAATATTCTTGGTCAATAGCTAGTATTGTTCAGAGACAATCAATGATTTATTTTGGCTTTCATCCCACTTCACTGTTTCTTTTTATGTCTAGCCTTGACTTCCTACTCCAATGAACATTGGTGTAATGTAATAATAGGGGCAGAAACGTGACGAAAGAGAGAGCATTATTTTGACGCCTTGATGGTTAATTGGTTAGTACATGTATTATACATGTAATTATTGCATTAACATGTTGTGACATGTGTGTATAACAAATAATGTTAGGTGATCGAGCATTATTTTGCTTGTGCAGCCCCAAAACTCCGGAATAACTTGCCATTTGAAATCAGGAAATCACCATCTGTGATTATCTCTAAATCAAAACTGAAAACACATCTTTTCAATTAACTGTAAATCTAAGCATATCAGGAGCTCTCCATATATGAACAACATAAAAATCAGTTAGCTAGACATCAATAAAAGACAGAATTTCTCTTTTAGTTTTAGATCGTGTGAAGATAATATTTCACCAGACAAAAATCTACGTAATATAATGCATTCCCGAACCAGTAATGTGCTTAATACCACCGAGTCACCGACCAGCATGTATGCAAAGTAGAATACTAATAATTGACGTTTTGGTTTCAGACACAATATATGCGATCATATTTCTTTGATCACTTTTCTTCTCAGTTATTATAATAATAATTGTATACCATATCATGCCATTCCAACTCGCATGTAATAGAATCACTAATACCTGACACCCGTATGTATGCATAATATGGTGAATAACGACTACTTTATGATACACGTGCACAATGACCCAACCCCTCCCCTTTCCCGTATATAAATAAAGAATATAAAGTCTGCAACTCATAAGAAAGACATCTTCCTTTCCTCTTTTCTTATCAGTTATAGTTGAGATCACATTTGACCATACTTTACAATCCAAATATTTATTTATAGAAACCAGTAATACCTGAGACCCACATGAATGCATACTGCATAGCATACAAAGTAAAGACAACATAGTTACTATGATAATTATGTGATTAACATAGTTACTATGATAATTACGTGATTGACATGAGGTATGACGCTTTGAAACATTCGCCCATTTTCTAATTTCTAATTTCCTTTCCACTTTTCTTCTCGATTATTATCGATAAAACATTAACGACATCTTACACACTATATCATATTACCAATCCAACTCGTGGGAATAGAAACTACTAATACCACGTACCCGTATGTATGTAAAGCATGGAACATATGACATTTAAATAGATGATTGGCGTATCGTCCTAGCCCATGACCCACGCAGCCATTTTTCTTCTCGATTAAAGATAATGATAACATCTTATTCAATACACACCACAACTCGATAGTTATCATGTTACCATTTCAACTCGTGGGAATAGAAACTACTAATACCACATACCCGTATGTATGTAAAGCATGGAACCAGGTCATGGAACATTATATGACATTAAAATACATGATTGACGTTACGCTTTAGCCCATGACACACGCAGCCACTTTTCTTCTCGATTAAAGATAATGATAAAACATTTACATCATCTTACACAATACACACTATATCTCTATAACTAAAATATACCATTTCAACTCGTGGAAATAGAAACTACTTATACCACAGACCCGTATGTACATTGTATGTAAAGCATGGAACATTATATGACATTGAAATACATGATTGACGTAACGCTTTAGCCCATGACACACGCAGTCATATTGCATGATCAACCCCCAATATCAAGCCTCAATATCAAGGCTATATGACTCGGTGGGAGTGCTCTGAAGGAGAATGTCATCTCTCTATAATGTGGGGAGCATCGTGGACTTGGGGATTCCAAGGCAAATCTTGTTTTTATGATATCGAAAGGATTTTCATTACGGGGGTAACCGGCTTGTCCCGCCGAAAGCAGTCCCCCGCGAGGGAAAATCGTCCCCCTAACGGAGACAGTCCCAAC